CGGTTGTGTGCATCCCGAGTTACGTGCAGCCGTGGCTGCTGCGCACAGCCCGGGCTACAGGCACCCCAGGCTGGGTACACCCCAACCCTGCACAGGCAAGGCTACGCGCACCCCGAGTTACGCACACCCCGGGCTACGTACACCCCAAGTTATGCACAGCCCAAGCTATATACACCCCAGGCTATGGACACCCCGGGCTACGTACACCCTGGGCTACGTACACCCCAAGTTATGCACAGCCCAAGCTATATACACCCCAGGCTATGGACACCCCGGGCTACGTACACCCTGGGCTACGTACACCCCAAGTTATGCACACCCCAGGCTATCGGCACCCCAGGCTGTGCACACCCCAAGTTAAGCACACCCCAGGCTACAGACACCCCAAACTATGCCCACCCCAGGCCATGCACACCCCAAGCTATACACACCCCAGTCTATGCAGACCCCAGGCTACAGCCCCCCTGGTTTACAGCCCCCCCCCCACTGTGTACCCCAAGAGTTACGCACACCCCAACCTCCATATAAACTACCCCCCCCCCCAGCAGCACCCCCCCCCCCACGGGGGTATTTTCGTCACCAGGGCAAAGCACAGGCGCGTGGCAGAGGGCCTGGCACGGGGGTCACGCACACCTGAACCCCCACTTTCCCCCCCCCTCCAAACCTGCCCCTCGGGATTTTAACACCCCTGCCTCTCCCCCCTTTTCAGCCGCTATTGTGCCGGCACCACAAACCCCACAATTAATTAAGTTTCCATCCAGTGACAGCCCGCCAAAATGTTTGAAATAAACACCGAACAATTGGGATGGGATGATACAGGCCGGGAACAAAGTCCCCGGCGAGAGGGTGGAGCGGAATGGAAATGAGGGATTGTAAATTTGGATGGTGGAAAGAAAGAGGGGAAGGGAGAAAGGGGAGGGGGCCGGTGGAGGGGGGGGTGGCAGGAGGGGGAGAGGGGGATTTGCAGCTCTCTGGCCATGAAGTGATGCTGAAAGAAGTCAAGCTGCTGGAATCCGTGGAAAAATGAGGGGCCGGAGGGGCTGCGGGTTAAGGTGGAGCCGG